CCAGCAAGCCGATCCTCAGAACCTATTGTATCATCCTTAGGTCCTAGAAGTCGTGGGCCTCGACCGATGGTTCGCGGGTCAGCCTCGGCCGCAGACGTGAACGATGCACCATTCAGCGACCAACGTCAAGCCGCTCACTATGACTCTCCGGTCTCTCTCGGAAGTGACGGTTCTGGGACGCCAAATAGCGCAAGAGCTGCTACCTCTTCTAGTGGGTCCCTCGAAACGGCGTCTCCTCGTATTGCTAGGGGACCGCGGGCACCAACCTCCAGATCATCACAAGAATCTGGGAATTCCCAAAGTGCCACGAGAGTGCGGCATGTCGAAGCAACCTCTCCCCCACGGGGACCGACCCAATCCCCAGAGCTGGTTCGCATCATGGATGAACGGAACGCGCTTACTCGGGAAAGAGTAGATAGTACAAGAGTGCTATCGGAGGAAGCTCATCAACCATCTGCAGGCTGGAGAGAGGAGGCAGCTCAAACTGCGGGAATGGCTGGAGTAGGAGCACGTTCCAGGTTCACAGGCGATAGTTTGCCTACATTTAAGGACCCTAGCCTCGATCGTCGATAAACGTCACTCAAGGACTGCGGCATCGTATTCTTCACGTCTTTCTCAATCAATTTTTTTATAGTGTTGTCTCTTTGGGATTGTTGCATTCACATGGACTTTGGTTTGTTCGACATTCATCTCGGAGCTGTATTATCTCTATAACCCTTCGTGAACGCACTTTTTGTTTCGAGTCTCTTAAATTTACTGTACTACGGCAACCGGCCCAAAGCTCTATGCTGGCAAATTCAATCTAAAATTCCATTCTTGGACCTGACGTTCACCTTTTTGCCCGACCGTACTCTTTAATACCTACGAAAACCAACCAAAAATGCTCGCAAGATCTGCTCTACGTGCAATCCCTCGTCGTGCGTTCTCGACGAGCGCCCCTCGTCAAACAAAAGTTGCAGTGTTGGGTGCTGGCGGTCCGTAGAATTTTTCCAGTGCAGCTTGTGTTCGTCTAAGCAAAGCTAATACGTCGATTCCTATGGAATACAGGAGGCATTGGTCAACCGTTGTCGATGCTGTTGAAGATGGATCCCCTTGTTTCGAGTCTCTCACTGTACGACATCCGTGGTGCCCCAGGCGTAGCTGCTGATATTTCACACATTGATGTTTCGGGAGAGGTGCGTAATCACCTTCACTGTGACCTATAGCGGGACATTTGGTGAATCGTGAAACTTTTTTCGTTCTAACCGACGCATTCGACAGGTCAACGGCTACCCGGCCGACAAGCTCGAAGACGCTCTATCTGGTGTAGAGGTTGTTGTTATTCCCGCTGGTGTCCCAAGAAAGGTGCGCTTGCTTTTGTATCACATTCTTTTCGTTCGGTTCGCTGACCTCTCCTGGTAGCCTGGTGTAGGTTCATTTTTCTAGCACACTCATATCACCCCGGGATCAATGCACGATTATCTTCCATCACTTTGTCTTACTCCTCTTTGTGTGATACGACGGTGTCGTCACCTTTGGTAGCTTTGAGTCAAATTCACATGCTGACCCTTTTTGGATTCGTTAGATGACCCGCGACGACCTCTTTAATGTAGGAATACTATCCGCAATCCTGTTTCCTGCATCTGATATACTTACTCTAGACCAACGCCTCGATTGTTAGGGATTTGGCCTCTGCAATTAGCAAAACGGCTCCTAAAGCCCATATTCTCGTCATCTCGAATCCTGTCAATAGCACCGTGCCTATTGTTGCCTCTACCCTGGAGAAAGCTGGAACGTTCGACCCGTCTCGTTTGTTCGGTGTGACCACTCTCGATGTCGTCCGTGCTTCTCGTTTCCTCTCCTCCATTGTCGGAACCGATCCCAAAGACACTCATGTAACCGTCGTCGGCGGGCACTCTGGTGTGACCATCGTTCCCCTTCTCAGTCAAACTCCACAAGCGAAGAACGTTCTCGGTGACAAGGAGAAGCTCGACAAGCTGGTGAACAGGATTCAATATGGTGGTGATGAAGTCGTCAAGGCCAAAGATGGTGCGGGAAGCGCTACGTTAAGCATGGCTTTCGCTGCTGCCAAGTTTACGAATAGCGTCTTGCGCGCTCTCAAAGGCGAAAAGGGCATCGTCGTCCCCAGCTTCGTCAAGAGTCCCTTGTACGAGAGCGAAGGTGTACCGTTCTTCTCGAGCAATGTCGAACTTGGGGTATGTTTTCGCCTCTTCCCTTCTTGTGGATTCATTCGACTGACACAAACCGTCTTCTAGCCAAATGGTGTAGAGAAGATTCACGGACTCGGAGAACTGACACCGGCCGAGGAGGAGCTCGTCAAGGCAGCGCTTCCTGAACTGAGAAAGAACATTGAGAAGGGAGTCAAGTTTGCCGCATAGATGAGTGCATGCCGTAGGTGGGCGGGGTCCTGATGTGAAACGCTATTTAGCTTGTGCAACTAATTATAGAGGATGCAATGAAACTCACAACTCTTCACTCTGCAGGGAAATCACTGACCCGCAGTGAAGTTGCGTCCACGACTATGAACAGGTTTCTTCGTTCGCTTCGTTTTAGGTCTACACCTGCTGCATTGCCTTTGACTATATTCGTCGGGGCTGTAGCTTAATGGTAAAGTGCGCTATTTTTCATTGAAAACTTGACCCAGCGCGATTTGAGGTTCGACTCCCAACGGTCCCAACTTTTTCGTCTTGGGTTTTAGTTTATATAATCGAGAGCACAATCTGGATTATCTATCGGGACTGTAGCTTAATGGTAGAGTGCGCTGTTTTTCATCTGGGTTTCCTTTTGGAATGCGCGATTTGCGGTTCGACTCCCAACGGTCCCAGTTTTTGTGTTTTTTTGTCGTAAACCACAAAACTTTCGCGACACGATAATCTGATCCCGCTGGGGCTATAGCTTAATGGTAGAGCACGCTGTTCTTCCCGCCTGCCTTGTAGGCTGGGTGGCTCGCCGGCGTGATTAATTGAGGTTCGATTCCCAACGGTCTCCAGTTTCTCTTTTTCTGCTTAGATTACAGCGCTGGGTTAACCAAATAGCATTGTACCAGAAAAGTTGTTGTAGACGCGTCCATCACCTCTTGGACCTGACTGGAACTTGCAAGTAGATCACGTCGTCTGCACAGGCTCGATACAGCCTATAATAACCTTCAATTATTTTTCTTCGCATCGCATCACTGCACTCGTCGGCAGTAGACTCCAGCGGAACCGTCGTCAATTCTTAATAGTCTCTGATTTATTTGATAACCCAGGCGATCTATGAACGCAGACAGCCACAAAAGTCCTGAAATATCGAGGAAGGTGATATTTATCGGCGTTGGGTGAGTCGCAGGTTACGAGAAGTCGATGGTGCGACTCGCTCACATACATTTTGAAATCGATTTCCCGTACTCTTGTTGGGAATTTCGAATACTCTGGGTGATCAATCTATCCTTCAGAGGAGCTACCTGTTCAGGGAAAACGACGCTTGCAAAACATTTGCGCTCAGTCCTCCCTGGAAGTGTGATCGTCCACCAAGACGTGGGTAAAGCCACATAGAACGTAGACCTCTTTCTTATCTTACATGTAGGATTTTGCACCCGTACGTGCGCCGGTCGTATTTTCCCCCAATTCGACGTGAGACTTGCTTGACGATCGTAGCCAGAAGAACTGGTACCAGTTCATCCTACACACAATGTTCAAGACTGGGACGATCCGGATGGCGCTATTGATTGGCCTCGCATGATGGCCTTTCTCCGACGCGTGAAGGATACCGGCATCCTCCCAGAGGATCATAAGAGTCACGATGGGCTAAATAAACAGGTCGGAATCTCCTTCATCTCTCCTGCAATTTCCGGTCTTCTCACGGATACTAGGAGCCGGTACCCATCTCAGACGACGCTTTGGCTCATTGGCGTTCTCAGTTCCAAGAAATGCATGATTCGGCCAAAAGAGACCATGGCGTTGAACTCGTCTGGGGCCTAGTGGATGGATTCCTGCTGTACTGGCATCCAGTGAGTGCATCGTAGCCGGTGTATCTTTGCTAGGGTGCTAATCCGAGCTCAAGGGTATTATAAAGGAGTTGGACGTCAGAGTCTTCTTGAGGGTGTCCTATTCCACCCTTAAATCTCGGCGGGAGAGGCGGTTTGGATATCACACTGCAGGTGAGCATGTTCTCCTGTTTACACCCTCCGCCTGTGCTACGTCCTCTTCATATATGCATCTGTATTCCTTCTCAACCCACTGATCGCAGTACAATTCTCGCCAGAGGGGTCATTCTGGCGAGATCCGCCTGGGTACTGGGATGACATCGTGTGGCCTGCGTACCTCAAGGCTCATAGGCGCATATTTGCGAATGGCGACGTCGACAACGGGGCGCCAGTCACGCCGAAGGACGAAAAGGATGTCGTCGATATCGCGACTGAAGGAAATCCGACCGAAACGCCGGCTTCTGATGAATCAACGCAATGCGGTCTGCCTGTACCCGGGCTACTTGTGTTACCAGCGGAAGACATGTCGATGGAGGAAATTTTCACGACCGTCTGCCAAAATGTTCTGTCGACTAACTCCTTCATCTGACAACTTAGACGTCTTTTTTGGCGACATAAATAGCTCGATTAAGGCAAAGGATTGCATACTGAGGTGTTTAGGAGTGTATAGTGTGAGCGTGGAAAAGTAGCAGGACAGCAGACAAAAATGTCACGAAGACTGCGGAAGAGACGGAGAGCGAAGGTTAGCTATGTACCCTCGTTCTTTTTCTGATTTTTTTCTTTTTTTTTTGGGTCCAGAATTGCGGCAGGCTCGATCTTACTCATCTACAGCGCTTGTTTATGTTAGCTCGTGTTCTCCTGTACAGTCAAAGGTATCGCGTCTCACCGGCCCTAGGAAACCAACTCCAGAGTACATTGAAGGCCTTTTCCGCAGTGAGTTCCTGCGCTTCTATCTTGGAAGTAGCGTATCGCTCTCCTTCGATGAGCGTTTCGGTGTCGTCGGTGGCTTCTCTCTTCAGGTAATAATTGCAAATGTACTCTCGACGGTGGAGGGGTCCACGCTCAACAAAACTGAACCGAAAGGCGGCTCTATGCCTCTCGGCCAATTCCTTGACGGCTTGGCGTTTATTGGCGGTCATTACGGGGAACTGGTGGCGTAAACGGTCGTCTGGAGGAGTTGGGGAGGCAAGCCCGTCGAGAAGGCTTGTCGATGATTCCTCAATCCACGACAAGTGCATTTTAAAGCAAACTCCTGGCTACGAAAGAGTCTGTACGACGCGTCCAAGTTGATCCGGGTTGACTGGTGAAAGAAAACGACTGGAGAAGACCGACGGCGTATCGAAATGTGATTGTAAGTGGAGTCATTCAAATTGATTTTGCATTCAGGAAAGCGAACAATAAGAGACGAACAGGCGGGGGATCGGGAAGGTTGGTCCATTTGCTGGTTAGGTGGACGTTGTCTTACCCTGCAATACAGAAAGATGTCGCCGCGTCGGGACATCCATGTGACCACAGTTAAAAAGCGAATTCAGGGGATGTATAAAGGCACTCCAAGGTGGTGATCGTCGCTCGAGGTGATGTGGGTCCGCTGCTTGAAGACGCAAACATTGGCTCCGACGCGCCACTCGGAACTGAAACAGTGACGTCTGTACTGGAAATGTCATTCAGATATCATGTGGGCGAATGCTTGTCTCATAGGACGGCCGCTTGAAAGGAGGGGAATCGTAGACGCTGCGCCTGAACCTGGGGATGATTATGAAACAGGATTCATACGTGTCTCATCCAGTCAACATAATGGACGTCTGTGCTTCTAGGGACAACTGACGGTCATCAAAGTCGAGCTCATGGGATTGGAGATGATGTCAACTTGTCAGCGGCTAGCTAGCGGGTGAATAATAGACACATGCGATACGAGTCAGTGCGAATTCATCATAAGACAATCGATCCCGTGACTAATGCTCTATACTCACGTCTAGAACGTTCCTCTGCTGCCAAGACTCGCAAACTTGACAGATATCTCCGATGCCCCTCATGGGGAAGCAAGAGAGTGAGCCAAGAAGGGGCGGCTGCCTCGCTATCGTCACCTGGCTATTTTTAGAAGAGAATGGCCGAGACGGCGTAGTAGGGGAATGCTGCCGTACATCAGCCGCGGAGCTACTTTTATTGTGAGCTGTCGACACCTTCTGAGTTTACCTTGCAGGCGTTTGCCCACACTAACTTCTGCATCCGATTGGCTTACCCAGCACGCATCATGCCTATTCCTCGCACCTTCTCCGCCGGACCGCTTCAAGGTCCGGATATCCGCTGTGTTGACAGGGGAGGACTGCGCGGGAGCGAAAGCCTCCCCTATACAGATATAGGTAAATGGAGCCGCAGCTTCTCCGATTGCGCCCATAAACCCCGCGCGGGATCCTTCATTTTAACTTTCCCCGCGGAGGTGAGTTTGTTGTCGACAACACTCTGCCGGACAACCCCCTCAGTCATTACTGCAAAGTTTCTCCAGCTGATCTCGCGGGCCGTGCGCATTCGGGGTTATGATATATAGCTCTAGATCCTTGGCGGGCCGTAAAATTATTCGGTATTCCCGATCTTGGGTATAAAAGCTATCACTATTTTTCATAGCTGCAGCATTTCCAGGATAGCATCGCTCCCTTCCACGATCATCTCCAGCGTCAATGTCTCGAGCATTCGTTTCACTCATTCTTCTCGCTCCACTGGTTGCTCATGCCGCCGTGGTAAGTCGGTTTTACTTTTGGTCACGTCTACTTCCCTTGCTGACTTGTGTTTTAGCCTCTCTACGGTCAGTTAGTTCACGTTTTACCTGCGCAACCGCTGCTGAGCTGGCCATAAAGGACAATGCGGTGGTACCAACTATACCGGTATGCTTTAGCCAGTCATCGTCTTCGATCGTTTCTTACCCGTCTGTCAGGCGAAACAACGTGTAAAATCACCTTGCAATTCTCGTACTTCGCAGTACTAACTTTCACCTAGGCGTATCCGGCGCAACTTGCGTTTACTCGAGTGAGTGCAAGCCTCGGTTATGACCCTCACTCAACAGTTAACAATGGTTTTACTTTAGATGAGTGGTACTCCCAGTGTAGGTCATTTACACCACATACATTTTAACTAGTGTACCCAATCTCGTCCAGGTCTGCCGGGTACCGCTACGACAACCAAAGCAGCAACCAAAACGACGACGGTCAAAACAACGACCAAGACAACCTCGGTCAAGACCACTTCAACCAAGAAGCCGACGAGCACACCTAGTGGTTCTAATCCTACCGGTATCACGACTACCTTACCCGCATCCGCTGGCTATGTTGCCCTCCCGACGGCATCGGTGATCTCTGGCTCTTTTGATGGTGGAATGAAGCGCTTCGACCGCGCCGGTTCATGTTGGTATATTATTTGGATTCACGTGGAAGGCACTGACATGGGGACCAGCGGGGAAGTGCCAGGGACAAACAGAGACTGGAGAATCAGAAGCCGTCTTCATCCTCGAGTCTGGTGCGACAATCTCCAACGTCATTATTGGTAAAGACCAAGCCGAAGGGGTAAGTGTAGAATGACATGATTTATGCGAGGGAACTACTAACTATTCTCTCTCAGATTCATTGCCGCGGAACGTGCACTCTACGCAACATCTGGTGGGCTGATGTCTGCGAGGATGCGGCCACCTTTAAGCAAACCGGCTCTGGTGATGTATCCTATGTTATCGGTACGTTGATTCTGCTTGATGATTTGATCATTACCTCACAAAGCCTCCTTTCAAGGTGGTGGTGCCTTTGGCGCGGAGGATAAAATGTACGTCAAAGACGTTCAACTACCACCATATTCTGACCTTTCCTGTTTTATTGCTA